TTTAGCTCAAATTATAAACACAGGATGAATGTCATTAACGAAGTTTGGCTTTTATAGTAATAATTAATACACATATGTATGGACATGGAAACAAAATTGGAAGGAAACGAGTGATAATGAATAAAACAAGATGCCTCACAGTCACGCTGCCACTTTTTACTTTCCCGTATACATACGTATAAACAATAATAGAAGTTGTAAAGGAAAATGTATGTAATTCTGCGAAAAGCCATTTCGAGATTTCAATGAAATACACGTTTTCGGAGGATACCGAAAAAGTTTTTTTTTATTTATTGTTTAATTTTTAAATAGCTCCATCTTTATTAAATAAAAAATGTATTATAGTACAAGTTACTTTCTGTACAGATACAAATCAAAACTGATAATTTTTTATAGAAATTTTTACTTGTGTTACATTTTTTTTTCATTAAATACATTTTACATAATTTTTTACTGCTCTTCACTGCAGAAATTGCTCGATGATGTCTTCAAAAACGAAGATTTCTCAGTTATAAATGCTCCCTATGTTAGGTTACTTAGGTCCTACTAAATTTTCTTGAGACAGTTCATGCCGAGATAGTTTTTTATCTGCTTCAGTTTTACTGAACGACGTTCTCAAGTACAGTTTGATATCACTCAAGGCAGCAAGTACATTCTTAACGTCGTTTCCAACGGTAGGAAATGCTTCGGAAAGGTTTTCTTCTAATTTAAACATGTAATAAATATTTTTTTTTAATGTTTTTGAAAATGTTAACATTTTGTACACAGTAGACTACTTATTGATAACAATTATTTTCACAGACAAAAAAAGAAATATGGTTGCGTATTTTTTCCGAATCGGGGGCCCTAAGCAACTGCTTGTTTTTGCTTGTAGGTAAATCGGCCTGCTTGATATAAAGCCTCTGGACATTGTACAAAATTTTATTAAAAACAGTAACCAAATGTTACTTTTAAATTTCATAAGAATAGAGTGAAATTACGTTTAAAAAGGTGTCACAGTCGATTTTTTGGATGTTAACTCTGATTTTCGAAAATTTCAAAATTTGATTCTTTTCTACGTCTTCCTAAAATAGAGAATTGAAAAAAGAATGTTTTTCACGTGAAATTTGTTCTCCATAGTGAGTTATTGTCATTTAGTCCATGAGCATTGTTTTTGAAATTTTAGTAGTTTCGCGCAATATTGTCTGGAATTTCCAAAATATTACAAAACTTTTCAAAAACGATTTCAAATGTATTTCCTCAAACTTTTTGAAGGAGAAGTGCTAATTGCACTCTTTAATTGTATGTGACGTATGGGGGAGAAGATTGCTGATTAAAACTGTATGTGACGATATGGGAGAAGATTATGTCGCACGTTTCCTTGAGTTCAGAATCCCTGTCCATAATTTTATCTAACGTGATTTTTACGACGTGTGTTGTAATTATAAATATCAGTATTGCATGAAAACATGTTCCCACCGTTAAGTAAGTATCTTTTGATAAATATTACAGAGAGGCTTGCAGGGATGACGCAGATGGCATTTTTTCATTATTCGAATAATTTGTTCGCAATGTAAAGGTCTGAGTACTACATGGTGAGTTTCGCCAGAATATTATGCCGTACTCAGGCGGGAATGTAAATTTGCAAAGTGCACGCAACGAGCTGCATGAAGGCTGACGGAATTCTTAATTCGTAACATTATGAACATAATTTAGTACTTAATTTTGTTATGTGTACATTCCATCTGAGTTTAGACTGAATATAGAGACCTAAAAATGTTGTTACCTGAACATAAGCTAATTGCATATTGTTCATTTTCAATGGAGCGTGCGATTGCTGATTTCAAAAACTGCATTGAACCTTTTCTTTCGTTAACTATTTATGTGTTATTACAAAACCAATTTGAATCTTCTAAAATCGTACAATTTATTGTTTCTTTTTTGCAAAGAACATTCGTGTCATCGGCAAACACAACCGTTCTTACGTTTTTAATAGACGAGGGCATATTGTTTACATATAAACAGAAAGAGATGGATCTACGAGCATGTAATTCACAGTGTAGTTATACATCTTGCCCGGCACTGAATAGCACGGAACGTTTGAGATTTGGTTCGGGCACGGCACGCACTAATTTCCAATGCTGGCAACAACCATTCTACTTAGTTTTCAAAATAATTCGCAGTATTTCGGCGTGGCAGCATTGAGTGAGTGAAATTTCATGCCCACAGTTGGTACGCTACCAAAGCCCCCTCTCCCCAACAACCATAATTTATTATCGTATTTCAAGAAAACGTGGGCATATGGCAAGAGTATATTTGATGATATATATTGAGCAGCCCTATAAGACGATTTACCCGCGTTTTGCAAATGAGACTATTATTCTTTGTATTAAATCATAAGAAAAGCAGAATAATACTCAGGAAAATTCCCTACACGCACCAGCGTTCGCGCAATTTTTACTTTGAAAATGCGCCGCCAAAACGCAACGCTGCTCTATCTGTACCAGTCCGGTCCGTGACTGAGGAAACAATAGTGACCTTAGATAATCTTTTAAAATTGAGTTGAACCGACCCTAAGGAAACTTTTTGATATAGTAATTACAAAATTTTTTAATTAATTGTTTCATTATTTATAATATTGAGTGCAACGGTCCTGCTATGGCGTGCATAAACTAGAGCATTCTCGTTCTCTGCTGTGTGATGGTGTGCCGAATTGTGCTGAACAGATTGATTACATTCTCTGTGCATTACTGAATGATAAGAGCAAGGTCTGGTGCTGATTGCAATTGGAAGAAATAGACCCCTTTTGCGGAGCTTATTAAAATTGGAAGAGGTAAAAAGTTTATTTTGCAATTTCTAGTCACCACATTACATTTGGAACTTTTAAGATGTGTCAAATATAATGCCCTTGTAATTGAAAAATAAATATGTGTTGTAATATTTTAAAGAGGCTGTTGTTAAAAAAAGTAAATGAAATTGGAAATGATCTGAATTTAATACAAGGATTAAATGGTTAATGCAATGGAAATCACAATAATCAGGTAATAGACTAGTAGTTTTCTGTTGATACAACAGTATTTCTCTTTGCAATTCTTGAGAACAATACGGATAGTGTCCTCATTTAGATCCAAAAACATTTTTATTTCAGCAACTATTTTATATTTCTGAATATGGAAAACTGCAAAATTTAATTACCATGAGGATGTCAGGGGGAAGGGCCCAATTTACAATTTATTACCATTCTTTTTAAGTAATTCAAAGAGCCAATTGGCAGTGAAATAATACATTAGCTTGTATATGTTTTTAAAAAAATAATGGAAAACTACTGAATTATAAAGGTGTTCATATCAATAGCTCCAAATGGTTTGTAAACATCTGTTACTGTTTCTCAATTAGAGCACATTCTTATGTAACTTGTAAAGAATTTTGTGTGTGAAGAATAATACCGAAGAATTTTTAATTTATATGTTAATACAATAGTATACAGTATAGTAACATATGGTATATAACAGTATGTAATATTCAACCTTTTATTGAACTAGAAAAAGAATATTCAACCTTTTATTAAACTAGAAAAAGAAATAGAAGGAAGGAATGTATAAAAATAGTTTATATTTAGTCATTAAAAGATCTAGAACAGACCAAAAAATAATATTTTTCATATTTGACTGTGAAATTGTAAGAATTTGAAATCATTTAATAATAATTTAATTCTCCTGTGTGAAAAAGGTATTTTCTATGCCTTGTTGTCAAAATGGTACAATTAAGTTTATGTTGTGTTTTTTTGTAATCCATTTGAAAAAGCCTACATGTCAGTTGTTATAAAGACAATTTATTTTGAAATTTAAAATTCGTGTTTATTATGCTTATTATATTTTTTTACCATATTCATAATGTATATTATGGAATTGAAATGTTCAAAAAGCAAAAAATTAGTTTGCTGCATCTTATGTCTTTAAAAATTAGGTTTTTGTGCCCCCTGAAAAATCTTCTTGCAGTGATGAGTGGTTGCTCAGTCATGATCATGCAGAACTAACTGAACTGACTGCTTTCTTGTTTTGTTATCTGTAGATGAAGGAAGAACCCGTGGATGAGAAAGAAGACTGTTCCTGGAATACCATTGTGAGTTAGTATTACAGTAGTGTCATCAATCCAATGTAATGGAATGGAAAAGTGGGTTTTGAGATAATATCAAAAAATTGAAATGCTTCATGCTGTACCAAATTTGAGTGTATTGATCTATACGGTGAAATTTGCACAGGAGATTATATGTACCCTACCCTTTATTGTTAATATAAAATATGGAAAAAATTGGAGAGAAAATAATAATTATAAGTTAAGTCAGTATTATATTTGTTTGCATATGAAGTGGGAAATATTAGTATTTTCTATCAATATGTGTAAGCGCCTGTCCTTGAATTGCAATTCCTAAATATTATGCACACAAACACCACCTAAATTTTTTTTTCTGTAAGTGTGAGATTTTGTACTTTCTTGCCTTTTTGTAATATATCTCTGCTTTGGATTGTTAGTAAAAAAAATATCTGCTAGAGATTTATCAAATAATTGATATGGTGAAGGTCCCAAAAAAATAAAGTAGCTAGTGGGGAAGCTTTTGATTTAAATCACATTTTTAAAATAATTCTTACAATTTAAATCATCGACATAAGGTGGCACTGACACAATAGATATTAAAGAATGTAATACTGGTTTGTTAAATTATCATATCATATTTTCTATTCTGGAAGTGAAAAAATGTGGCCATCAGTTATTGGAAGAAAATCTTGGTTACTTTTTCACAACTGAACTTGTAATGTTTTTATATGCTTCTCAATGAGCGGCCATGATTTTGATGAACAGTGTTTTTTCTTTTAGGCCAAAGCTGAACCCAGTGCTTTGCAGCATTCAATAAAAGAAGATGTGAGTACAGTCATATGTCTTGAAACATTGAAATAATTTTTAACACATTAGGACATAAAAATACTTTTGTAATTGAAAAGAAAGCAATTCATATTACAAATGTGAGAGAACAATACATTTGAATTTGAACAAACCAGAAGAGAGTTACTAAAATTCAAATTTGGTTATAAATAGTTTTCTTTCTTTTATCATCCTCAGTGCCACAATGTGCTTCAGGTAATGAATGTGACAGTGTGGATCAATGTAAAAATTTAAAACAATTACTTGCTTTAGAAGAGTTCTGCTACAGCATGATATATCAAGCAAAACTAGTGAGAAAGGCTGGTGATGGTTGATCAGTGATTGAAGAAGGAATTACTAGAATGCTATATCTATGTGTAAAAAAATTGTCAATGTTGTGGAATAAACTGAAGGAATATTATATTTTGTGTCAGTGGTAGTAACAGGAAGTTGTACATTTGTATTGGAATGGGATGAACAATGTTAAAATATTTGTTAGCCAATATCAATTAAACGAGAAAATACAGTGTGCCAAAATATAACCATTTGTTAGGTTGCTGTATGACATTTGTTTTTTCTGAGCAGGAGTTGGAGCCTCCAGTTGCCGTGTTTGTTCAGCCAATGGTGAAGCAAGAAGGAGCCTGTATTGAAGAAACAGAGGTACGACTTCATGTACATTTACAGGACGATGTTTCAATGCAAGGAAGCATTGGATGGTGATGTGTTTAAACTCTGTAAATGCATGTATTTTAAATAGAAATTTCTTCGTAGTTATGTTGTTCACGATTCTTTGAAACAATGAAAAATGCTGTATGTACAGCAACGTAATGGAAATATATTGTAACTACTAAAGATCAAAGTATAGCTATCATTAGGAAAACCCCTGTAAAGTACATTTTATTCAGGCAGTGGGGGAAAAGATGCGTGGATGACCATGTAATCATCATTGTGAACCTCATCTGGGCAACGGATATTGATTGTAGGGTGCTGACTATAGTGAATAGTTCAAGTGTAAGGCATGTTGTATGTTTACAGGGATTATTCCACATCATTTGTGTTTGAGAATAGAATATGTCTGAGGAGTGCTTAATTACAAAGAATTGAAACAAACCCAAATAATTTCAAGAATAACTGCAATATTTGACTAGGCTTGTAGCCTTCGCTACTTATTCACTTTTTTTACAACTGGAGTAATCCTTCCTATTTGTAACCAGGAAAAAGAACATCCTTCTAACAAATGTCACTCTAGTCTCTTGCTCACTCTAGGCTTGAAGGGTTCTGACATTGCCATGTATACAAGAGGCCAGAAGGTGCAACATGGTAAAACTGTATTGCAATGGAATAGGGGGCTTACGTGCTTGAATGGCAAGAAACTGAAATTTCAGAAAAACTGCATATTAACATGAAAACCCAAACTTCCCTTTCAAATTTCCTCCCCTCTACATTACTATTCTTAATATTTACCACAAGATACATAATAAATGAACCACTCTCAGTAATATAAGATTTCAAAAAGTAGGCTAATTCTAATTTTGTTATTGTTTCATTACACATTTCTAGAAGAATAACATCCAAAATAATTAAAAATGTATCATTTAATACAAAAAGGAGAAATAAAATTAGAAATTGCAAAATAGAAATAAATTTATGACAAAGTATGACTAGTATTAAATTTATGTTATTATTGAATAGAACGTCACATATCTCTCACAATATACGCACAAAAAGTGCTTCTGGGATTACCACAAACTCGTACTTTAATACGAGTAAATATTTTACACATATGTCTTAAACAGTGTTTTTATTATTGATAAAGTTTCCTAATCCAATTTTAAAACCATCACTTTGCTCGAGTCGGTAACAAATTTTTTCAGTACAAATTGTAATCATTAATAAATCATTATTTTTGTGATAAAAAATATTTTTATTAAATTGTCTATTAAGTATCAAGAGTTGCCCCTCCCCAACTACTTCACACTTCTCTATAAAACCATTGACATCGTTGCTGAAAATATCAATTTTTTTCATATAACCTTAATTGTGTGCCAATACTCCTATTTAAAAGATCAAAATATTCATTAACTATTGCTTCTGCTATCAGAAATGTTACAAATGCAGTACACAGTCTAGAATACTTTGAATGCTGCAATCCAGAAATACATAACAAAGACGAATTTTCTTCCCATCTTAATTCAGCAATTTTGGAGAGTGCCTAAACTTTGTCTTCCCCATCAATTACTACTGATATCTGAATGACATTTAGGGGGTTCTAATGTTAGTACGTCTCAAGGAAAAGGAACACTCCCATATCTTGCAGAACACATTCCAAGTACACTTTTTATTCTTATCTGTGGTAGGTAAGACTTAAAATTTGTCCTTGCTTTTGATCCAATTGTTCCTTAAGTTAAGTGAGAAGAAAGTTTTCTATTTACATAATCGTTATTACAAAAGACTGTATTTTCATGCAACAAAACTCTAAAATGTGCAGTAAAAACACCAAAACGTGTGAAAACATGCAATAAAAAAGGATCAAAACTTTCCAAAATAGTGTTGCAGAGCCTAAAATGTGCAGTTAATCCACTTAACAACTTACTTTTATATTTTGAATGTGATATTTCAGGTGAACGAAATATATTCTAGTATTGTATTATATTTATTGTAATTGTGTATATATTGTTTAAACAAACCATATTTGATATTTTAAATATTATTTGTACACAAAATTAAAAGAGAAAAAGAAACATAAACGAGTAAATACAAAAATAGAAATATGTAAATAGATCTTCCGAAGTCAAAATTAATGAAGTTACAATAGAAGTGTCCTTAATTGTTTTCATTTTAATTTTTAATAATGTATATTTCCAAATTATTTTCTGAGAAAGTATTATATCTTCTATCAATGTAAATGTTTCAGACATAGAAATCTTTGTTCTATATTTATATTAGTCTGTGTGCTGAGCCTCACTCTGACGTACGTGTGCATACTGCTTAAAGTGTTTAAAACTTCATTCAGTCAGTCAGTCTTTTACCTTGCTGGGCAATATTTGTTTCAAGAAATTCAATGAATTTCAAATGCAGTTCAACTTCTCGCTAAGCTTTTTACCTGCAAGTAAGGTCAAATGAGCTTCACACATTCCATCTTATGTTGGCAAGTTCAGCAAAGACTGACAAAATAAATATATGATCCGCGTGGGTAGATAGATCTTGAACATTACGTTTGCAGAGCAGCCACAACAAAGGTCGTGGATCCCTGCTGCAATACCTCAGAAATTTTAATTAAACAATAGGGCTCATTAAAAGAACAGATGCTCAGCTCATAGAGCAACAAAATGCAGAATTGATACATATTGAACTCACTCAGGTTTCACAGCCCACCCAAATGAACTGCTGGGCTGTCATACATGGAGAGAAATGTTTAGTTCTACCAATTAATCACATAGTAGATTGAACTGTTTAGTGTAGGACATTTTGGTAGAATGGAGGTCTTAGTCACAATCACGTAACTGCTGTTAAGTTAAACACTCTAATGTGTATAAGGTAATGTTCACTAAAAAGGTTGTACCATGTGATGAATGCCACCTAGTGGACATAGCTAAACAGATTGTTGTGTTTACTAATACATTGAGTAATATTTTTAATATTTAGTAAACACAATGCAGTGAAAATAACCGAACAACACAGGAAAGGGAATACTTTAATTCTACCCCCATCCCTCCCCTGTCCACTTATATAGCGTATGGTATTAAACAGTGTTGATTTCTCACCGTTCACATAGGCTCTATACCTATTCCAATTGGTCAGATTGCTGAGAATGCGCTCTTACTAAGCACTGGTTAGTTAGTGTGACTACATTAACGTAGATTCACCGAATGATTTTATTGACAAAACAAGTATGGTACCACTGACAATTCTCTTGTTCATTTACTTACGATTTTCTGAGTTGAGTTATTAAACAAACTAAATAGTGTTTAGTGATTCTTACTGCAGAAGTGATTGTTTTTACTAAATGAATGCTTACTAAGAATGTTTAGTACATTGTACTACATTTCTCTCAGTGTAAAAACTTTTTCTTAAACGAAACCTTTAAAAACATTAATGAAAACAAGTTGATCATAAAAAATTCGATTTTATACAATAAATTTACAAATCTAGCAAATTGGTCTAGTAAAATCTTAAAAATGCAATTTTCCGGCATCAATATCTGAAAGTGCAGTTACTGACAAATAAAACAAGGATTAAAATAACGTCCATTTTATGATTCAAATTTCTGTCCAGGTTTTGTACAGTTCCAAGAACGCAAACAAAAAAATGCAGTTACATGGGATTCCGGTTTTTCAGTTATCACAAACGGGAACAACATCAGTAAACCCAGTTGCAACTAATAGATCCAAGACCTTAAGGGTCAATGATCCTAATGATTCACCTGTAAAGCATTGAACCAAATTAAGAGTTCAACTAGTATTTCAATGTACGCTGATAAAATTGAAAAAAAAGTGCAGTTCTAGCTTGGATGGCACTAGTGTTATATGACCTTGTTATCTGGTCGTTTTTTTCTTCATCGCGCTTAAGAAGAGAAAATTTTGTAATGCTTCGCGAAAAGGCAATGAATTATTGGCAGAAAAACTCTTAATGCAGGACCCAGGTAATGAAATAGTGGATAAATTGCCAGTGTTCCTTTTGGGGGGGGGGGATCCTCAAATATGTGGTGTACCCAGAATCCCTGTTTTGTTGGTCCTTGAAACCAAAAAATCGATTGACGGCAAAATGTCTGAACTACACTAGCGGATAAACCGTTCAGTCGAATTTCTCCAAAATTCATATTCCCCGATCAATCTGACTGATGTCGCTGTCCCCTTGAATTTGAAATTAATATAGACTACCCCCCTCCCAAATTATAATAAGCCCCTGAGGGATATTCAAAATGGCGTCGAATTATTAAATTTTTTTGGTGGGGAAAGATTTTTCCCTCAATAAAATCTATTCCTTAAAGATAGATTTTGAAATAAGGTCATGTTCAATTTCTCGAAAATTCAAGAATTTTTTGCGTAATGTTGCATGAAGAATAGGAATCTAAAACAAAATGCAGTGCCACGATTATTCTCAACTCCCCCGAGTAAGCCACCCACAAAAAAGCAAGATCCTGATATAAGAATACAAGAAGATATCGACATTTTATTTATTAATAATATTATTATTATTATACGGACAAGAAAGTCCATTATTTACAAAAAGAATACAATAAAAAATTTGCATGTACCAACATAATTGAAACGTTTATAAACAAAAACATCCAATAATGACATATGAAATATGACTGGTATAACAGTCGCTCTACCACGCCCACTCTTTCAAATTTCAAGATTTTGTTGCTTGCTAGTGATAAAAAATCAGATTTATCCGTTTCACATATATCAATATTCAAACTGTTGACTGATTTGCAACATAGATTTATACATTATTTGCATATCTAATATCAAAAATATCTTTGCTCTTAGAATCAAAGTTAGGTGTTTTACACGCTGTCTAGTTTTGCAAGATTTTGCCCTCGACCTCACCCAATATCAGTGTTCTCAAAAACAAGTCGTTCAGTTCTCTCTGAGAACTCAGCGATGAATGGTGCAATTGCAGAGCCAAGCCAATATATTCATGTTTTATATACGGATCTTCCAATCCCAAACTAGGCTGCTTTTCTGAAAATTTGGTGTTAGACTGTTTCAATTTGTGATTTATGTCGAGAAAAAAAAACGGAGACCAAACCACAGAAGATTACATCAATATTAGCTTGACCAGCATGATGTCAAGACCACTACAGAGTGTAATTCGTGGCAGAATCTTTTGATAAATCCCAAGACTTGAATTGATTTGACTATTGTGCGATCAAAATGATCCATGAAAGTCATCCTGGAATCAAAAATCACACTCTAATGGTATAGGCTCTCTCTAGTGGAGTGAGATCCATCACATAATCAGAGGTTTCATTAGATCTAGATTTTGAGAAAAAGATCGTTCTTCATGAATATAAGGCATTTTAGGGTGTCCTTATTTCAATATCTTATATTAAACCATCTGAACTCTGTGAGCCAGGTAACTGTGAAACCACTTTAGTAACGGTCCACTGATCCCCAACCACACAAGTTTAAATTGTAAAATCTAGTTGTTTACAGAGTTGAATGCCTTGCTAAAATCTGTATATATACAATCAGCTTGAAGTTTATATTCCATAGCTTCAAGTGTATAACAAGAGTAATAGGACAAGTTAGCTTCTTTATTTCTCTCAGGCATAAAAGCAAATTGTGTATCTGAAAGATGTGGATAAATAA